TTTAAAGATGTACAAACACTGTGTTTTGGCTTGCATTCTTTGTTGAACTGAACACTTAGTTACTGTTCTAAATTTCATGTTGTAAACAAGATGCCCCAAAAAAGCAATGAAGTAATTTTTAAATTTTTTGATAATTTTGTAATTCATATCCCAAAAGATGAAAATTAGTTGTAATATAGATATGTATTAATTTAGTAAATGAATTTTTTTTTGGTTTTTATATAAATTTATGGAGATATTAGGGCCCATTTATACGAGACAAAATAAGACGCAACTTACATAAGACGCAACTTAAATAAGTGGAGTTATTGCATAAATGGTTGTCTACGGCTTTATTCTTATTTACTTGCTATAGCTATAATGTTGTTACGGTTGTTTTTGTTTTAATATGCAAGGCTAATAATTGTACGTTGTTTAAAGTTTCGGGCATGTGTAGTTAGAATGTTTGTCCAAAATTTCTTATTTAAGACACGACTTACATAAGAGCAGCTAAAAGTCCTGCTCTTATTTAAGTCGCGTCTTATCCAAGACGCGACTTACATAAGAAATTTGTGACATGAAAAACAAAGTGTCACTGCTTTATAAATAAAAATACTGACTGAAAAAAACTAATGATATATATAGGTATGCAAAGTCATTTAAACTAAATTTGGTCAATCATATATCATTCATGTTTGGTTGAAAAGATCAGATTTTTTATGCAATTGTTTCTTAGATATTGCCATTTTGCGGCAGTAAATGCCTCTAAAGATTATTGTGACGATGGTGATGATGATGATGATGATGATCGCTAATTTCGCTAAAATAAAAGCATTGCATTCACAAATTATTAACTTAGATTTTGATATATAATATTTAATTTTCTGTGCAATATTGAGGGAAATACAAGTGTTTGAAGTTGAGAGGAGTTTAAGAAATTGGTGAAATAACGAAAAAAATCGCTGCATCAAACTAAATTGAAAGCAGTTGTCACTTTTCATGGAATCTTTTTTACTTCAGTGATTTTATCTTTAATTTTAGGTTATTCCCTTGCAAATTTACTTTTAAAAGTAAAAATTACACTTAGAGATTGATTCTTTGCAATAAAACAAAGTCAGTAATTCACGTTAAAAGAAAGTTCCATTTGATGTCCTTTGAGATTCAAATTCGCAATTTCATTGTTAAAGATGTCTGAGTTAACAAGAAACAAAAGAGTTTGGCTTTGTGTCGAATACGCTAGAGCACAACAGCACATTCAAGCTCAAAGACACACTTTTCATGATGAGTAAACTCATATTAGTTAATCCTTTTAAATATAAATGCATTCTTTTAGCTAGAATAAAAATAATCAACAAGTAAGCTAAATTGGAACTTGATATGCTAATTTTTGAACTTCTCAGAAATGGTGTTTCAACTTTGAAGCGTTAATTGCTCTATCAATATCGCGCAGAAAATTAAATGTTATATATATATATCAAAGTCTAAGATAATCATTTATGAATGCAATGCTTTTTATGAATGCACACTGCAAGAAATCAAATTCTAGTCTAGAATAATATTCTTAATTATTAGATTATTTTTCTTATTTTAAGTAAATATTCTTATCAAGAAATATTTCAAGAAAAAAAATCTAGTTTTGAGAACAAAAATCTTAAAGTAAGAAAATTTTACTAGTCAAGAATATTCGAGAGGATTTTTTTCTTATTTTAAAGGGGAAGTCAAGTCCGTTCTGCACATCGGTTCTGCGCATAACAATGTGAGGGCCCTCTGATGTAAACATTGCCCAAATTTTGAATGTTTCAAATTTTTCTGAACATAAACTCAATTTCATATTCATGTAGGAGCATAACAAACCAAAATGGTGTTAGATAGACGGCCGGCCAACTTGCGAAATTGTTATCGGTGATGGCATTTTCTGTTACAAGCAGCCAACAATGCTAGATAATTTCCAATAGACACAATCTTTAATATTTTGGTTGTTGGCACCTTTGATTCAGAGTTTTAACAGAGATATTCGAAGGCTTTCAACTGCCAGTTCGTGGCCATCAAATACATTGTTCGCCATTGTGAAATGCACTTCTTTGTTGCTACGCAACAAGTTCTAAATTGTGATTGGTCACCTGCGTTCTGATTAGTTTCTTTTAACCAATCAGTGCTAACAAAATGTCATGCCTCGAAGGTAAACAAATAAAAACTATTGATGAACAAGATGAACATTGTATATTTTTGCGGTTAAAAGTAACACAAGACTACAGAAATAAGGTAAGTTACTGTAATATTACTTTATAATAACGTTACTTATCATGTATTACTGTCTGTTTATAAAATAATGAATTTTTATTGCTATAATTCGCTGTTCAATCCGACAGAACACTGTTTGATAAAACTTGATCGATAGACGACGAAAATGGGCTTCATCCATATTAGTCTATGTACTTTATCAAAGGTAGACAATATAAATTTGTAGACTAGTTTAGCCATGTTGGCTTAAACACAATTATTAAATTGCAACGACAATATAGAATCAATTAAGTATTGAAATAAAATTTTGAATAATACATAAAAGTTGAAATATTCGAATTGAATGAAAGACTCTTGCTTATATTTAATTTCGTTCATGCTTATACTGTATGCTTTATGCGTGGTCTATAATTTGGTATAAACTTCAAGTATTTGGAACAAGGATAAACTGACAATTGATATAGCAAACATACAGTTAATTTTTTTTAAATTCTGTGTTTGCAGTGGCTTTTTAAGATGATTTTCTGAGTGCATGTTGTTTTGCTACACGTATGGCGAAATAGTTTCAGACTATTCAGTTCATGTCTATATTATTTTGGAAGTTTATATTTATATTTGATGCACAACCAAGCACTTTATCTTTCTTTACAAGTCATTGTAGATCGACAAGTTTAACATCTTTCCTTGTCCATTTACTGTACCAGAGTTTAATACTTCGTTACAATAGATTTGTCTGTCCATCTGGTGGTCGTTTCATGTCTTTTTAGTTGCTATATAACCATATTTTTTCCATTGGTTGATTTCTGTAACAATGATCTGATTCAACTGTTAATTCACTGTATCAGAGTATTTCATTTGGTGGCCAGTACATTGTAAAGGGCTGTCTTGAGTTGCTCAATACCATCTTGATTTATGGTTGCTTTCTGAGACAATAATTGTGATTCGAATACATTGGTATTGGTCGTCCATTAGATTTCTTTAATTTAGAGATTATCACTTGCATGGTTTCTTCTGTTTAATCTGTATCATTTCTTATACATAGTAGACAAAACTATTTTCCAGAAATGCCAATCTAATAAACATATACCGGGTGTCCCAAAAAAAAGTACTCCGGTTTGATTTATAATAACTTCTAAACAAGTAGAGCTATCAAACAGAAATAACTTGCATTAAATAGAGGAAGGACTAACTTAGATTTTGATATATTAATGTTCAAAATCGGGAGCATATTTTGGGATGTGTCTAAAATTAGCGAAAATCGGCGTATCAAATTTTAACTCCAGCGTTTGTTTGCTTAATGACATATCAGGGTAACTATTTCAGCGAATTGTCGTTAGGGTTTGTAAGGGATATGGCGTAGATTTAGACATCTTACATGTAAGTCTTAACTCATTGTTTCCTGAAATATGAACGTTCGAAATTATGTAAGTATTTAATAGGTCTTTGCAAACTTAAGGTACATGAAAGACCATATGCAAGGCAGGCGCTTCAATTTTTCTTAAATAACCTATTTTTTATGTTTTTCATGGGTTCAAAACAAAGTTGATTATTTCTCGGTTAGAGCAGGATGAATATTGTTCTTTAATGGAGGAAATAATATTGCTTTTTGCAAATACACATCACAGTATCAAAGCTACTATTTTGTTACGTTTTGTTCCAAAAATGTTGGATGTCTCTGGGGAGTTGCATGCTTGTTATGTCTTTACTTATGGAGTTGTATGGTTTGATTGTGTTTCATTCTCAGTTTATTCTGAACTTGCCAAGATTAAGAAAGGCAAAATAGTTTTGGGTGTTCTTAACAAGATTTCAGAACGTTGCAGAAGTTAGAAAATTCATTCAATGTGAAGTTAGAAAATTCACAATTCCATTGTGACAGCGTGCCCTAATTCAGAACTACGAACGATCCATGACGATCCTTCGCGATGCAGTGGTCTCATGAAATAAGGAAACGTATTCGTGCTAGGAACACACGCGGATTTCGGACGAATAAATCTTGCTTGTATTTTGTAGATAATAATACTTTGTTTCATAATAAACAATTTGTCAAGTGTCATTTATTTACAGGTAATAGTGCATGTTTCAGTCGGGTAAATCTTGATTAATATTTGATACGCTGTTTTTGGCATATTTCAGACACATCCAGAAATATGCTCCCGATTTTAAACATTAATATCTCCGTGAATTTTTAAGTGAAATACAACTGTAATATATCAAAATCTAAGTTAGTCCTTCCTCCATTTGATGCAAGTTATTTCTCTTTAAAAGCTTTACTTGTTTAGAAGTTATTTCGAATCAAACCGGAGTACTTTTTTATGGGACACCCGGTAGTCCTTTAATAAAAAAATATAATCAGCTTTTCAATTGTCAGTTTCACTAGCCAGGTCCATATGCATGTGGACAAATATAACTCATTGAAAATCATTGAACAAATGTGTAAGGATTAAAACTTTACTAAATGGCATTTGAGTGTGCTTCCATTGAAACAAAAATGTCATGCTTTGATAACCAACTATAGTCTATAGGATGGTAGCCCATTGACTATAAAATTATATAACTTTTATTAATAATATATTAAGTTCATGTTTAAGTCTATATCATTTGTAACACATGCTCTTCACATGAAATCCTCATTCATCAAGATAACTCTTCATCATGACTTTGATATCTAAAAGAATGGCAAACTATACAACAAATTAAGTAGGTACAAAAACAATATCTCATGTATAAAGTTCTTTCATTGTTATACATTAGATAATTAGTTAGTGGAAAATTTTAAGAAATTAACTTTCTGGTAGCCCAATTGGATTGTGACAGTCTTTCACATTACAGATACAAATCGGTGTACATTGCTGTTGGCTTTTGTAGCATTTACATGCTCCAGTTTTGCATTTTGTTTTGCAACCACAAGAGATAAGGGAAAGACAACATGTTGGTATGCTTGGAAGAGTTGTCCAGACAATTTCCAGATTGTCTAAAGAATCAGATGCCTTCCAACCTCCAGTCACAACTGGTAGAGGGAGTTCCTGAAACTTAACAGTGGCTTGTAACCAGACATTTGCCTGAAAATTGCATCTTGTTATATGCAGGCCTAAAGAATTTTTAGTTGGTGGCAATTTCTCAAGCTCTTTGTTACCTCTCTGAAAAAGATCTACTCTGCATTGGTTTACCCCAGCTAGTGGATCTGGTGCACAATACAACCTGCAAACAAATTCTTCTACATCCTGAACAAAGCAATCCCTCCCAATGCCATAGAGCAAGTGAGGGTGCTCTTCAAAAACCTTCCAGCATTTCTTTTTCCCGTAACCACTAAACGAAGAAGTTGTATCACACCCAGTGAATGTGTGAAAGCCTAATATATTCTGAATTACTCCCTCAGATAGCTTATCTGTAATACTATTTACGGGAAAGCACTTTTTTTGCTTTGCATTGCCACCAACCATCCAAGTTTCAATTTCTTCATTTTTTCAAAAAAAATGAATTAATAGCAAAAGAACATCGGTATCTCTACACAACACTATTATGATTCTGTTAAAATTATTAGCAATCGCTTCATGTGCATGCAGAATAAGTCGGGTATCTGCTTCCTCATGATTGTTAAATAAGTTAGGAACCTCACCTCTTTGTGTTGAGCATGCCTTAGTTGAATCCATATACCACCACTTGTTACCAACTCATACTGGTGACTAAATTCCCTCCCATGGCTCATAATGTATTCAGTAAGGAACCTAGCAAGATCTGCTTTATTATCACTTAATGCTACAAAATTTGCCCACACCTGAGGAAGACTTAAATCACCACGGTTAATAATTTTACGAACTGGTCTCTTTTTTATGCCTCTTTTAGCTCGAGTGGCTGATTTAATTGATTGTTTTACGTAGGTGTCAAAGACAACATCTACTCGTCTAACATGTTCATCAATATGTGCCGTGACAGCTCGAAAAAAAGACTCTGGCATAGTCATCAAAGGTCCTACAGGTTTGAGGTTTTCCAAGAGCTTGAACTAAAGCATGACCATCTATTAAAACACAAGTGTTTTGATGCATGGTTGGTGCAGGAATTGTGTGAGGGATTGTTTCCCCATCCATCAAAATGTTAACCAAATCTGACTTAGTTGTTGAGTTAAGAGTGCCATGAACCTTTGCTAGAGAAAGAGGAACATTAGAAAGCTCATGTTTAAGAATATCATGCATATCAATGTTACGACCTGCTAGGGATACTGTTAGAAGACGTTGTAATAATTTCCTATCAGCCTTAGTAACTTTTTTCTCATTCTGTATGCTAATAGAGGAAGCATACAATGTGGCAAATGTTTTTGATTTGTTTTTTTTATTGGATCAAAAAAAGGCATATCCTTCCTTAACAGCCATTTACCTATGTTCTCTAGTACCATCTGTTGCCCTTGTTGCTGTGCTGTCAACATATCATGTTGTATATCACCAGTTGCAACATCATTGGTTTCCAGAGAAGTTAACTGATGCATATCTACATCCATCCTTTCCCCCTCATTTTCTACATTTTCAGCAATTTCTTCAAGGGCAACATAGCCATCAAGAGGATCAAATGTATTTATCTTAAATACATTAAATCTTAAAAAGAGTTCTTTCAAGTCACTGACTGCATTTTCATCAACACTCACTCTGCCTGGCTGTGCGTCCTTCCTGGTAGAAATTGTATCATTTGCATCATCATCTACACCAAATAACACTCTAGTAGAGTGAGAAACATATGAACGTTCTGCCCATGTTATGCAGAACTTGTCCCTAGCAGTATCATTCCTAGTTCTTCCTATAATGCCATTTGATATTTTGCAGATTTTATTCTGCCATTCAGTAGCTTGGTCGAGAGGTATCTGATTAAATTTTAGTTTACTCCTCTTAACTACAAAGTTTCCATTCAGAAACTCCTCATAAACTAGTGTATGTGTGTTTTGTAAGTTTTTCATTTCACACAAGTAAACAGCACCCCACCTAGCATAATTTGTATGGTCATAGATTGTCATCCATGGAAGCATTGCTGAAAATGAATCTAAGTGAAGGGCCCAGTTACCCTCCCGATTAGCCCTGATAAAGTCTAGCAATGTTTCAACCATCTTCATGTATGACCTCCAAAGAACAAAATTGGGTAAATGCTGCAGTGTATTATCAAATTCATCCATCATACCTAAAACATCATGCATCTTTAGAGTAGTGACTAAACAATTTACTGCTTTAACTGCTTCATCATCAGAATTTCTGTGACTGAATGCCTTTACTATTTGATCTGTCATTGATTTTAAATTAACCTCCCTTTCATTAGATGTTAACCAAGAAGTAAAATATTGCCAATAAATTCGACTTAAAGCTTCATATGTTAATAGATGACCTCTTACAGCTCGATAATATTGCTTCCCTTCTAACATTGCACCAGTAGTATTTTGCGCAAAAACACCAGACTCAACCCATATATCTGCAAGCCCTGAATTTTCTATATGTTGACCTATTGCTTTAAGAAAGTTAAAGAGAATGTGCAAATGGCCCATAACCAAAACTACATTCTGATATTTTTCAGGGTTGGCCCAAATAATTTCCTTGCCTCTACTGTACAAAGGTTGATCTACTGCTATTACAGTATTTGGCTGGCCAAGATGTTTAGCAATTGATGTAAAGCGGTTAAGTATGGTTGTCATGGTATTATTATCATCTGCAGGAGCCTGAAGTATAGGCAACATACCAGGCGTAGTAATGGGTGAGTTAACTGAGCTAATCTTCTCATTAAAAGCAGCCCAAGCTGGCACCATTTGTTGAGAGGTTTGGCACATACGTGCTATTATCCATGCCATATTTTTCATTTTTGACTCAACCTGATTATTGCTTTTATTAAACCACTTTTCTATTTCTAGGTCAGGAGGAAGGTTACTAACTGGCTTTGGCCTTTCACCAACTGGCATGCTGGCATGATCTAACTTATGGAATTGATCTAAGCTATCTCTTGTTATTGTTTTTGCCCTGTTGATGTGCTTAATATCTATGTCAGTCTGCCTTATATTTGCCGGGCCTCTTTGCCACAGCATCATTTGCGTGCAATGAAATGTGTTTTTTCCATCTATTGTTTCCTCAAGCACATCAATATTATCACATGAGGCTAGAACAATACGGCTAGGGGAATATGGTACAAGCTCACTTGGGATATATATATGCCCATTTTTGTTAAACCTGTCGATTATATCTGAAGCTATTGTAGTATCAATTCTTCTAATTGTATCCATCCCTATTGTATGACCTGCTGCATGAAATAAATCAACAAGCTTTTCTGACCTAGTTGCCTGGTGTAGTGTAAGCCAATATGCTTTGGGGTCAACTTTCTCTTTCTAGAGGCTAAGTAAAATACATCCTGAGCAATGCTAGTGATATGGTCATCTAATTTAGATGATCTATCTTCTAATATATCTGTTCCCCCGAAAAGAACTGAAAGAAAAGTATATAAGCTTTGGGGAATAACCTTAGCAACATGTTCCTTATCTAGCCCACACCATGCAGCACTATGACCTGGTGTATTTTCCAAATCATTCCTAATGGTCATAGCTGTATGGACTAATTCTAGCAGGGCATTGTCTTGGAAGGGAACA